AAATAATTATAATCACTAAACAATAGGAACAAACTCGAATATAGTAACCTTATCAAACATGTGTAGGGACAACTAGCTTGAATTAATCAATCCACAACACTTCCCCCTTAATTCAAGCAAGAGGCATGATTCCTATCATATTGCAAAGCTTTAGCACTTTGCTCTCATTCAAGGCCTTTGTCAAAATATCTATATGTTATTTTTCAATAATACGGTGATGCAACTCAACTTCTCCTTTCAAAGCCAATTCTTTGATGAAATGCTACCGACTCTCGATGTGCTTGGTTCTCCCTTAATGAATTGGATTTTTTATGATTTCAATAATGGATTTAGTGTCATAAAAAATTCTTGTTGGCTCTATCCGTGTATGCTTCAAATCTTGCAAAATTCTTCTCGATCAAATCGCATGACAAGTCGTAGCTTTAGCCGTTATATACTCGAACTTTCGTGCTAGATAAGCCACTAACTTATTACTTCTTAAGACATCCATGAAACGACTTCACAACCAAGATTAAAAAAAAATGAATCCTATAGTACTCTTCTTATCATCTACACACTCAAACCAATCATTGTCGGTAAAAGCTAAAAGATCAATACTTTCACCTTTCACATACCTAATCCCATAATTAATGGTACCTTGGACATATCTTAAAATTTTTTTCGTTGCACCAAGATGATGTCTACTTGGGCTATTCATGAATCGTAAAATCGGACTCACTCGTAAACATAGGATCGAGTCGAATGTGTGTCAAATAAATTAAGCCTCCCACCATGCTTCGAAATGCTTATCATCGACCTTTTCAATTCCATCTTCCAAGGAAAACTTTTTATTTGCATTCGGAGGTGTCTTGGTAGCTTTGTAATTAAACATACCAAACCTTTTCAAGAGATTAGTAACATATTTTTTTAGGTAAAAAGATATTCCACTTGCATCTTGAACGAACTTCTAAACCAAAAAAATAATATAATGGTCTCAAATCGGACATATCAAAAGCTTTCAACATTGACAACTTAAAGGTTTCCATCAACTGAAATGAATTTCTAATGTATATGATATCATCCACATACAAACACACCACTAAAAATTCATTTCCATAACTTTTAACATACAAAGTAGGCTTACTAGCACTCTTCTAAAATTTATTTTTAGAAAAATAAGAGTCAATTTTGTTATACCAAGCTCGGGGTGCTTATTTGAGCCCATAAAGAGCTTTGTATAGATTGTAAACTTTTTGTTCAACACCTTTCACTTCAAAACCATCAAGTTATTTGACGTATACATCTTCAACTAAATCACCATTAAGAAATGTTGATTTTACATGTAATTGAAAAACCGACCAACTATTATGGGCAACTATACTTAGAATCAATCTCACATATCTAATCGTCCAATAAGTGCAAAAGTTTTTAAAAAATGAGTACCTAGAATTTGAGCATAATCCTTAACCACTCGGTCATGTGTTGTTCGTCTTCGAGGTGCCATCTGGATTAAACTTGGACTTGTAAATCCATTTGAGACCAATTGCATCCTTACCATCGGGCAAATCCACCTATGTCCGGGTTTGATTTTGTATAATAGCTTATAGTTCTTCTTTCATTGCTCCAACCCTCTCTTCTTTATCAATTGCATCCACAAAGCAAGTAGGTTCCATCGCCAAGCAAACAAATTCACTCGAGGCATAAACATCCGATAGACTTCGACTCTTCTGGAGGAGAATCCAAAGTATCATCTACCATTGGATGAGCGAAGTGTAGTATCAAGATCGGTTGTTATAATATCTTGAGTGGCATGTGTGGCACCGACTTCGACCTAATCCTAAGCCTTATCTTCATTAAAAATGACATCTCTACTCGATAATTAATTTGTTGGTGATGGGATTAAAAAATCGATAGCCTTTTATCTCCTTGTTATAGCCGATGAAGATGCACTTGATACTTTTCTTATCAAGCTTCCTCCTCGATTCTAATAGAACAAGGGAATAAGCAATAGATCCAAAAATTCATAAATGACTCACATTTGGCCTCCTACCAAACCAAGCTTCATATGGACTTTCTTTGTCAACTATTCGTGCTTGGTGCTCGATTAAAACATACACTAATATTGCTACTACTTTTGCCTAGAATTTATGTGGGAGTCCTTTGTCTCTCAACATACTTTTGGTCGCTTCAATAATCATCCAATTCTTTTGCTGCACCATACCATTTTGTTGTGGTATATAGATAGCCATAAATTGCCTTTGTATACCATGATTGCTTGTAAAACAAACTAAACTCATGGGATTTAGACTCACCCCCATGGTTAGTTTGTAATCTTATAACTGAATTTCCAGATTCCTTCTTTGTTGTCACTTTGAGTTGCTTAAAAAATTCAAAGGCCTTAGATTTTTCCTTCAAGAAACATACCCATGTCGCGAGTAAGAAATCATCGACGAAGATCAAGAAATACTTACTTCTATGTAATGATGATGTTTACATTTGACCACATATATCGGCATGGACAAGCATCGGGGGTTTAATGGCTCTCCAAGCTTTACCTATTGGAAACTTATCTCGATGTTGTTTCCCAAAATGCAAGGCTCACATTTTTTGTCTATAATCTACATAATTGGAAGGCCTAACACCATATTTTTTATGCGATAGCTCGCAACCCACTGTAGTTAAGATGGGCAACCCTCTTATGCCACAATACTAAATCATAATTGGAGACTTTAAAAGCATTAACTTATGAAAACTTGATAGGAAACATTTTATTTTTAGTCATTTTGACTAAATACGATAAACACATACTCCTTTTATCATAAAGTAAACATTCATCCTTGTCAAACATAACATAGTAACCTTTCTTCAACAACTAACCCAAACTCAAAAGATTTTAAGCTAAGCTAGGAATATATATAACATTGTGAATAAGTTTCCTACCAGCTTTACAACCCACACAAATAGTCCCTAGACCATGCACCTAGACTTGACTATTATTGCCCATAGTCACTTATGAATTGATTGACTCATCAATCTATACAAAACAATCTTTGTTTTCGGTAATATTATTACTACATCCATTGTCTAAGTACCATATCTCCGAGGAAACATCAATATTAGCAGCTAGACATGTAACTAATAAATTATCTACAATATGTAACAAATAAATTATCTATAAATTCATCTTTTTCTTCATGGAAATTAGCCTCGCTCTTTTCGGACAACTCTTTGCATTATGGTCAAATTTTTTATAGTTGTAACACTCGAACAACATTTTAATCTTGATTTGATTTTTTTTATACCAATAATCCTTCTCCATGTGATTAGCTTTACCACACCAAGAACAAGCAAGTAATAAATTAATGTTACTTTGACTTCTCTCTTGGCCATTTGATCCGCCACAACCTCTTCCACAGTTGGAATGACCATGTCCTTGTCCTCTTTTGCCACTAAATTTTCCTTTTCTTGAGTCTTTAAAGTTTTTCTACACATCAATTTTTGTTTGAAAGCCTTGCTCTAATAATGTCCCAATTGATCTATTTAGACGAGCTTTATGTGATTTAAGGGAACCCATTAGCTCAACTAATAAGTGATCGGACAAATCTTTGGATTCTTCAATAGCGAGTGATAACATGATCAAAATTTAAGGGAAGGCTCCTCTAAACCTTCTCAATAATCTTTTATTCAAATAACTCTCTAAAAGATCTAATTTGATTCATAAGGATAGTAGTTCTTACAGAGAAATCTTGAACCGACTCGGAGCGCTTCATTAATAGATTCTCAAAATCTCGATAGAGAGAATGTAACTTGATTGTTGCTACCTTGTTTGACCCTTGATAGTGCTCTCAAAGAAAATCCCATGCTTCCTTTAAAGTATTGGCTCCAATCACCTTTAGGAATAGAGCATCATCCATACCTTGTCGAATCAAGAATAAGGCCTTCGCATCTTTCTTTTACTTGTCCTTTAATTCATTTCTCTAGGCTACTCGTCAATCTGGGTGCTTACTCAAGATCGGTAGGTTCTATAAATTCACCTTCCACAAAGTCTTATAAATCTTGAGACTTAAACAAGGTTCTTATTTTCAATGGCACACCCAAAAGTGGTAATTGGTGCGATTGAAAATAGGAATACTTTGAGTATTAGAGGTATTATTGTTAACTAATATTCTTCTTGGTCGGTTAAAGACTTGTCTATTTAATGGATTCCGACTTAACAAGGACCACTCACTCAACTTTTCTCCAAACCCGGCTCGATACCAAGTGTAGAAAGAGGAAATAAAAACCTCTTGACAATGACGTCATAAGCCTCAATAAAATAAATCAAAAGAAACTCAAATATATGGATCGAAGAAAAACTCTTTATTCACACTAGTATTAAAGCATTAACATCTAGTCATTAAATAAGAAAACAAGACCTTACAAATAGGAGACACATACTGCAAAAAAAAAAAAAAAAAAAAATCATATCTTAAAAAATTTAACTAATAACAAATAATCATAATCACTAAATAGTAGGAACAAACTTAGAACATGGTAGCCTTATAAACATGTGCGGGGATAGTTGGCTTGAATTAGTCAATTCATAATATGTTTACTCCGTTAGAAATATTGTTAAGTCTGTTTAGCTATAGCGAGTAGTTAGAGGAGATTTTCTCCTCTCCAAGTATAAAAAGGAGAAGCGAAATTAGTTTGTAATCCGAACTTTTGTAACCTTTAATTTTTATTGAAATGAGAAGAAGTAAGACAAATTTTCTCTCACTTTTCACAATTTCTTCAAAATTCATCTATTTAAAATGTTCTCTTCTTCCAAAAAAATAATAGCATAAGGGCTTCTAAAGGCTCTCAAGGATTGCCTTCGGATAGAATAAAGGCAATTTCATAGGTCAAAATACTATTATTGCTACGTTAATTCGGATTATGAGTTTATAATGATGAGGGGGAAATCAAATGTTTTAATGATGAAAATTTGGAAATGTTCTTGTTTGGCATGTCTTAAAGTACGCTAATGAAAGAAAACCACCATGGTCCAGCCTTCTCCTTTAAGAAACCGAGTGGATGGTGGAAGGAACTTACGGGGTAAGGATCTCGCCATTTATTTTATTTTATGTAGACTAAAGAAAAACTCTTTATTCACACTACTATTAAAGCGTTAACACCCGGCCCTTAAATAGAGAAATAGGACCTTACAAACAGGAGACACGAACTACAAAAAATAAATTATATCTTAACAACTTTGACTAATAACAAAAATCATAATCATTAAACAATAACAACAAACTCGAACATAGTAACCTTATCAAACATGTACGGGGACAACTAGCTTGAATTAGTCAATCCACAACATGTTTAGTCGGTTAGAAATATTATTAAGCTATTTAGCGAGTAGTTAGAGGACATTTTCTCCTCTCCGATACAAAAAGGAGAAGAGAAATTAGTTTGTAATCCGAACTTTTGTAACCTTGACTTTCTATTGAAATGAGAACAAGTAGATCAATTTTTCTCTCATTATTCACAATTCCTTCAAAATTCTTCTATCCAAATCATGTCATCTTCCGCCAAAAATAATAGCAAAAGGGCTTCTAAAAGCTCTCAAAGATTGCCTTCAAATAGAGTCGAGGCGGTTTCATAGGTTAGAATACGATTATTGCTACGATAATTCGGATTATGATTTTTTTAACGATGAGGGGTTATGGGATAACTATAGTATTATGGACGAGTGAGGAGTTGGTTGGCAGCTGGGGTTACAACATGATGACGGTTGTGGGATGATTGTAAGATTGTGAGGAGTAGGGAGTTAAAAGTCGTGTGCTTATAGGAGTTGCGGTAGATGATGGTTGTGGGATGATTATAGGATTGTGGGGAGTTGGCTTGGGTGAGGAAGGTTGCAGGAATGGGTGATGGGTGGACTACGGGAGGTTGGCTTGGGTGAATGGATTGCAAGTTGTTATTGTTGATGATAAGGACACTCGCATAGAGATGTAGAGGAAATTTGAGCAAGAGGCAAAAAGGATTTATCCCTCCATCCCAACTTTCCTTTTTCTTTTTCTTTTTTTATATTTTTGTTTTGTATTTTATCTTTTTTGTAATTTTTTTTATTTTTTTGTATTTTTCTAGTATTGAAATTCTAATATTAATAAAGAACATTTTTGTGTCTAATTTCTTAATTATTATTATTATTATTGAAATAAAACAAACATGAACTAAAATGAGTGAAAATTGAGGTATGACGAGTTGCTCCCTCTTTATCGGCAGAAGTGTGAACTTCAAACCGTATTTGCTTTGTGAGTTTGTAAGGAAAATAAAAAATAACTCGACTAATGAAAATGACTTGGATGTGCTAAGTGAGTGTTCCAATCAAAACTAAAAATGGGATAGCCTCATTATGTAGGGTGGCTTGCTCCCGAAAATAAAATGTAGTACATGACCATGTTGATTATCGAGGAGGTAGGAGAATATCATTCCACCATTTTTTACATATAGGATGAGTTCTAGTCCGAACAAGAGTTCGAAAGAGCATAAGTAGACTTTCATCATATTTGCCTCCGGATCTCTCTATCTAAGTCATAACGGGGTTTGGCTTTAGTCTAGAGCTTTTATAAGTTTTCTCATGGTGCATGCAATAGTTTATAGCAGATAACTAACCCGAGTTCAAATAAAATACAAGTAAAAAATAAATTACAAAAATTAAAAATATTTATAGTAATTCAACAAAATATATGACTTTGAAATATATAAAGGAAGTAAAATTTAAAAAAATTAAATTACACAAAATAAATAACTTGAAATTTAAAGACTTGGAAAGTAAATGATTTGGAAATAAAAACAAATAATAGAGATGAATTCGAAGGACGAAAACTATGGTCTAACTCTATAAACCCCGGTAGAGTCGCCATTCTATCGTTACTCGATATCGGATGGGACTCTCAAAAAATTTAAGATTTTATTTATAGAGTTATTTACAAGTTTGGAGTTGCCACCTAGTATTAAAGAATGTAGAAACCTAAAAATAGCACTAATGTAGAGAATTTAAGACAAGGAGTTGGTTATGCTTTAGGAAGATATCGATCATCCAAAAACACCATTTCCTAAGAAAAGTACTATATCTAGTTTAGTCCTAAATTCATTTCCTAAAGTATTTTATTTGTGTCAAGTTATTTTCTGATCAAATTCCAATTTTTAAAGTTAAATTAATTTTTTATTTTTGGGTGTGGCATCGTATTGAAACGATCGTCGAACCCCTTCATTGGAAGATATGTCGGTTTAAACATCGAATTCACTTTGAGTCTCGACACAACCGGTATGTCAAAAAACATCTTGATTATTAAAAATGATTTCTTTTGGGTAATAACGGTTCTTATCGGATAGGAGACTTTGTTAAAGGTTTTATGATTTTTTATCTTTTTATTTTTTTAAAATTTTGGTTGGTGGAAAAATAGTCATTGGTTCCTAAAAAAAGAGAGGTTGACAATTATCCACCTATTGATTATTTAATCTAATTACTAAAATAAAAACAAGAATTACATTAATTAAATTAATTATAAAAAATTTGAACATTAAAATATAAACTAAACATAAAATAACAAACATGTATAAAAATAACTCAAAGTTAAAATTACATTAATTAAAAAAAAAGATAAATTCAAACACTAAAATAGCAATTAAACATACAAAAAATTAATTCAAGATTAAATGAAATAAAACCAAGGCCTTTTTTATCTTTTTTTTCCTTTTTTTTTTTTTTTTTTTTGGTTTAGGTTTGGGTTTGGGCTTGGATGGAATTCTAGCCCATTTTTTTAAGAAAAATTTCGGACTAGGCTAGGATCGAACTCGATCCAATCCATTTACAATACCTTAATGACCTAAACCCAAAAACACAAACCATTACCCATTTTTTAAAAAAATTTGATCAAAACACTTTTTTTTTTTCATTTTTCTCCCCTCTCTCACTCGATTAGTCTATTTCCCTTCTCTTTCTCTCCCTTCTTTTTTCTTCTCTCTACCGCCTCCCTCTATGGACGAACTAGTTAATCCCTTGATTTTTATCCCTCTATTTCTTCTTCTTCCCCTCCTTCTTCCTTCCTCGCTCTCTCTATTTTCTTCCTCCAATCCCATTCTTTCTTCTTGTTTTCTCTCTCATTTTGCCCTTCTCTTTCTCTCCCAAAATAAGCTTCGATTAAAAGTCAAAATTCAACCCCCTTTGATCTTATCACCTTTCCCTTTTTGTTTTAAATTCTAAATCAAATGAAATTAAACCCATCGAGCCAAATTTCTAAAAAAAAAAAAAAAAAAACCCTCAAATTTCACTACCTTAGGAAACCCGGAAAACCCTAGGTTTTGTTCTAGCTCAATTCGGCCTAGATTTAGGGTTTAATCCCTAAATTAGAACTCAAATTAGTTTCAAATAGCCTTAATTTCAAACCCCTAACCTCAATTTCCAATCAAAAACAAAAACCCTAAATTTTCTAAACCTTAACTCGTCTAAAAATCCTAAAATCCTCAAAATTCCAATTTTTGAAATTCAAACCCAAACCGATCTAAGTTTGAATTCAATTCAAACTTCTAATTGAATGAAAAGCAAACGCATATGTGTATGTGATTAGAGAGGGTCGGTTTCAAGGATGGCTATGATAAACATCACTCGCCATCAACATTCAAAGATATAAATTAGATTGAATTAATAAAAAATGGCTTAGCTTAAGAAGAATTCAAATTGTTGTTGAAGAAAAAGCCTTAATGGATTATTACTACTCTAAAAAAAATCGATAAAATCCTCTTCCCTTTTCGTTTCTTTTCGTTGCTTTTTGATTTTTTTTTTATTGTCTTCAATTCTAGTAACTAGGCCTAATTTATCTTTGATTGCTTCTATGTTTTTCTTTGATTTTATCTTTCAATTTTTTTTTGAATTGCCTCCTCATTTCTCTCGTGTTTCTTCTACTATTTATATAGGATGTGAATTTGTTGGTTCCCCACCATGATGGTGAGGGATTTTGCATGATTGTGGTGGTAAGGAGTGGGCGGTTGTATGCTGCAAGAGTTACAATAAATGAGGGATTATGGGATGATTATAGTATTGTGGAGAGTGGGGAGTTGATTGGCTGCGTAGAGTTGTGGCATGATGAGGGTTGTTGGATGATTGTAGGATTGTGGGGAGTTAGCGAGTTGTGTGCTACGGGAGTTGCGAGCAGATAAGGGGTGTGGGATGATTACGGGATTATAGGGAGTTGGCTTGGGTGAGAGCGGTTACGGGAATGGGTGATGGGTGGACTATAAAAGGTTGGCTTGGGTGACTGGATTGCAAGTTGCTATTGATGATGGCAAGGACACCGCACAAAGATGTAGAGGAAATTTGAGATAGAGGGAGAGAGGATTTGTCCCTCCATCCCAGCTTTTTTTTTTTTTTTTTTGTAATTTTTAGTTTTAGTATTTTACTTGTTTTGTAAAGTTTTTGTATTTTTCTAGTATTGAAATTCTAATATTAATAAAGAACTTTTCTTTTTTGTCGAATTTCCTAATTATTATTATTATTGAAATAAAACAAACATGAACTAAAATGAGTAAAAATTGGGGTATGACAATGAAGCATGTTCCTTATACGATGGATATTCAAGGGGAATTGTTAAGAAATAATAAATGTCCATGACCATTTCATATTCTCACTACTCATATGATTCAATTCATCATTCAATATGAGAAATTCAAAGGATGATATAATTTATTCAATTAAATATGCATCTTTTAATGGTTTATAGTCCCTTCTAATTCTCTTCCTAATCTTGAAGCCTATAAATAAGTTTGATTGTCCATTAGTTTGTATACAAGTATTTTGTAGAGATTGAGAGAATCATTTAAAATTATTATCTCTTGTATTCATTTTAAAAAATGTTATCTCGACTTATAGTTCGAGCACTTAGAGAATAAGATTTTTATTCATCGATCAATTTATATAGAAAAAATTCTGCAATTATTCAATATAAAGATCATTCATTGACTAGCCTAATGGTAGTTCATTCACTTGATATCCAAAAAAACCTTTTTTCGACCTCGAAGATAACGAAGAACTACTTGGTCCCGAAGTATCATATCTTAGTGCCATCGGTGCATTGATATATCTTGCTAATAATACTCGACTCGATATAATCTTTTCTATAAATTTATTAGCAAGTAATAGTTTTGTTTCAATACAAAGACATTGAAATAAAGTTAAATATATACTATGTTATCTTCGAGGAATAATTGATATGAGCTTATATTACTTCAATAAATCAAAGACAAGATTAATTGGTTATGTAGATGCATGTTATTTATCCGATCCACACAAAGCTCGATTACAATCGGTTATAAATTTCCATATGAAGATACAACTATATCTTGGCATTCTATGAAGCAAACTATAGCTGCCACATCTTCAAATCATGTAAAAATATCAATTCACGAGCAAGTTGAGAATGTATTTGGCTAAGATCAATGATCCATCATATCCAAGAGACAACCAGTTTATCTATCGGTAAAAGAAGTTCCAACAATATCATATGAGGATAATGTTACTTCCATAATTCCATCGAAGGAAGAATACATCAAAGTAACAATCTAGTAGATTTATTTGCTAAAGCATTACATACCACAACTTTTGATAAGATGATTCACAAGATTGAACTACATCATTTTAGAAATCTCAAATGATGTTTTCAATAGAGGAGGCCAACATTGAGATTAATGTGTACAAGGAATATTATACTCTTCTTCCTTCATTAGGATTTTTTCCCATTGGGTTTTTTTCTAGTAAGGTTTTAATGAGGCATGTTCCTTGTACAATGGATATTCTAGGGGGAGTGTTATGCAATATGAATGTCTTTCATCATGTTCATCTACTTATTCTCATTACATATGATTTTTAATATGATCCAATTCATCGATTAATAAGAGAAATTGAAAGGGTGATGCAATTGATTATTTATAGTCTCTCCCAATTCTCTTCTCAAATTTGTAGCCTATAAATAGGTTTGATTGTTCATTAGTTGGTGTACAAGCATTTTGTAGAGATTGTAAGAATTATTTGTAGTTGTTATCTCCGATGAATATCCATCATCATGTTCATCTACTTTTCATATCCCTACTACAAATGATTCTTAATATGATTTAATTCATCATTCAATATGAGAAATTGAAAGGGTGATGCAATTGATTATTCATAATTTCTCTCAATTCTCTTCTCAAATTTAAAGCCTATAAATAAGCTTGATTATTCATTAGTTGGTGTACAAGCATTTTGTAGAGATTGTAAGAATTGTTTAGAGTTGTTATCTCTTATGTTCTCTTTATAGTGAAATCATTTCTTCATCATTTTTCTCTTCAATTCTCTTATTATTTTTATTTTTTATTTAATAACATAGCTAAGTTATATAGAAAACCATCTATAATTACCCTTTTTTTTTTTTTTTAATGAAAAGGTCTCTTTGAATATAGAGTCCTCGTTTTAGGAAGAAAAAGAAAAGAAGATGCACACGGGGGAGTTGGTAAGCATACCTTTGTGTCATATTTTATTTTATTTTAATTGGACTGTAGTTTTATTAGCCACAATTCATGGTTAGTAAATAAGTAATAATTTAATTTTTTTTACAATGTTATTGGAAGAATAATTTATTTGCCAAATTGGATTAATACTAATCCTTTTAGAGAGTTAAAAATAGGAATTCTCGGGTTTATTTTATATAAGAAAACAAAAAAAAAGTATTGTATTTAATCGGTTTTTATTTTTTTTAAATATAAAAAACTATTATACTCGATATTTATTAATCCTGATTCTTTTAAGAGAATTGAACAAAGGAATCCGTGGGAGATTCCGATTGTTTATAAAAAAATAACAAAGAAATCCATATAAAACTCGGACTTTTTTTATATATATAAAAATATAATAATTAATTAATTAATTTTTTTTTTTTTTACACATGGACCAACGAAAACAAATTTAACGAAGGACACAATAGGTCAACAAAATGCAAGTCTTTTTTTATCCTGACAATTATTTTAACGTATTGTGTTATTTATAAATATAGATATAAAATAGGATGGGCCTAGGCAATTAGCTTGTATTAAATTAATTAGCTTAACTTGATAAAAGAGAAGAGAACTTGATAAAAGAAAAGAGAGAGGGATCTTTCTTTTTCTCTTGCGTTGGAAAGTTTAGTTCTTTTTGCTACTCATTCGTTCTTTCTTTCTTTGTATGTGTGTGTGTTGTATCAGAGGAGAAGCAGAAGCAAAAGGAAAAGAGGGTGTGTTTTTTTTTTTGTTTGTTTATAAGGTCAAACTACTAAAAGGTAGCTATTAATCACAGGTTGCTATCAGCACCACCGGCTTACCCAGAACGATTTTCAAGGTCAGTTTTCTTGGTGTTTTCTCTCTCTATCAATCGCAGGTCTGCAGATTCTATCTCCAATATAGCTACACCTTTCTGTTCATTACCCAGATGGCGATTAATGCCCCCGTACTCTACACGATTTGATCTCTTCTCCTCTTCTTTAAGTTGCTGCCTTTTAGTGGATAATTTATTTTTTAAAAAAAAAAATCAACTTTCAACTTTGATGATTAATGAATAATTTTATAATTTTTAAAAATAAAGGCACTAATTATTTAGTAAACTGTCAGGTTATATGTGAAATTGCAAATATTTCTAATTTTATATTTAGCTAGACAAAAGGATCTAGATCTAAGTTATTTGAACTCTGAGAACCATCAAATTTGGTGATAAAAAATAAAAAGGAAGAAAAAGAAAAAAAATTTATTAGTTAAATAGTCAGAGAATTAGAATGATGAAGGATAATAATTCCTACAAACAGCAACAATATATAATAATAAAGGATAATAAGTTTTTTAAATATAAATCTCATATACTTGTGTCATTTTGCTAATTTTTTTATGTTGATATTTAATGTTGATATTATTTTTTTGTGTGATTACTAAAAAAAAAACTTACTAGTTAGTAGTTAGCAGGACGTGGGAGAAAAGTTGTATTACTACAACAAATATAATTAGTTTCTTCAAGGAAAAGGGCACTTAGAATATAGATTTCTATTTCAATAAGGAAATTAAATAAATTAAAATGAAGAGATGCGTACGGAGGAGTAGGTAGGTATTTTTTGTGTGATTATTTTTTTATTTTTGACAGATGTGTTGAAATACAATTTATGCAGTTTCCTTTCCAAGCTGCCGAAATCGAATTAAATCCTAGTCGGATTTTTTTTAGTTAGCTTCCAATGCTATGTTATGAGTGAACTAAATATATAGTTTTTAATTTTATAATTAAAAAATAAAACATAAAATTTCATCTAACTTTGATTAAAATTTTGTATCTAATTTTTTTCTTATTTTTTTAATTATAGTTAAAAAAACAAGATTTATTTTTTATATATTTATTCTTAAATAAACACACGTTATAATCTAAATTCAAAGTTAAAAAAAAAAAAAAAGAAGTCATAACATTACATTAAAGAAATAAGGTCAAAATTAATATAAAAATTTGTATCAAATTTATCAATAAATATGTTTTATTTTTATTTAATATTAATGAAAAGAATTTTTTTTAAATATATATAATTGATTTATATTTATTTATTTATAAAATAATAAATAACATTAAAATGAAAAGAATATTCCTAATATTTGAATTATTAGGTACTTTTTCTGAAACATTATTTTAATTAGTTTATTTGAAGAAATTAATTTTTTAAACATTAAAAAAGTAATAATCAATAGTTAGGGTTATATATATATATATATATATATATATATATATATATATATATATATATATATATATATATATATATATCAGCAGATTAGAATGTGTGATATAAATCAAAAAGTTTTTTTAATAAAATTGAAGTTGTAAAAAATTTATTAAAATTAATAGAGTGAAAACAAAATTATAAAATTAATTCCGATAAAATTTGACAATATAAAGAATAAAAAAAACACTTAAATTCTATTTTTTAAAATTGATTATATAAAGAATAAAGAAATAAAATTAATTATAAAAAATGTTTATTAAAAAATTCATGTATTGAAAAAATAAATTATATTTATTAATAAATAAAATTATATAAATAAAAGAATAAAAAATTAATTTTATGAGAATTTTATAAGAAACAAAAAATTTTTAAAATTAATTTTAAACAATAAAAGTAATATAATTTAATGTATATGGTCATTCTTAAATTTCAAAACATATTAAAACATATTATATATATTTTACAATTATCAGGTTTTTTGATAAAAAAAATAATGAATGTATTTTTCATAATTTTTGCACACAGTTCAACAATAAAAAAACTATTAACATTAATTTGTGAAAAAAACAAAAAAGCAAAATAAAAGACCAATGCAAGGCCAAGGCAAGCCGCTCGATGCAAGCCAGATGACAAAAAAATATTATTTTAAAACATTAGGAACTAAAATAAACATAATGTAAAATTCAACTATAAATGGTAAAAAAATAACTTAAAAATCACAAAAATGACATACTCAGCTTCAGTGTATTCACAATAAAATGTGAGGGTGAACAATGAAAATTATATATTAATAAAAATATTAATTTTTAATTGGACTTTATTATATAAGTAATTTTTTTTCACATTATTGAAAAATAATGTGACCTGGAGAGGAAACAGAACACCATGATTAGTCTATATTGGTATTAATCCTATTTCTTTTAGGAGAGTTAAAAATAGAAATCTATAAGAAACTGTGTTTTTTATTAAAAAAAATATATATATTTAATTGCTTTTTAAATAAAAACTATTATATTTAATATTTATTTATCAATTTAGAATTTTTTATAAAAATCTAAACAAAGGAATATCCGAGACAGACTCAGTAGATATATATACACACCGTGTTTTATTTTTTTTCCCTCGAGCGCCAGTAAAAACAAATTTAATGAAGGGCGTAATAAAAATTCAGCTAAATACAAGTTTTTTTTTCCTCGCAAAAATTTTAACTTATCTTGCTATTTATGAATATATATAATATTTAATTTTCTTTTTTATTAAAAAAAAACAGAAAAAGAAAAAACTTGCAACTGAGATGTACAGAAAAACATGTATAATTATAATAATAATAATTATTATTATTAATGAAACGGTCACTTGGAAGTTGGAATATAGAGTCTTACTTGTAGAAGGAAAAAATAAATAAATAAAAAGATGCTATATTGGATTTTTTTTTTTTCCTCTTTTGTGGTTGAGTTTCTTTCGATTGTTCTTGTCTTGACAGGAACATATTGATAAGATGTCTGAGGTAGCTGATCCTGCAGAAGTGCAATATGATGATAAGGTTGGACACGTTCTATCAGCTATTTTAGTACCATTATTGATCTGTTGTTCTATTTGTCTGTTTAGTCCCCCATGGATTGAACATTTCTATAAACAAACTTGGGATTTAGGTTTACAATATTTTTTTACATATTCAAACCAAACCTTTTGGAAGAAAAAACATAAATTATCCCTTTGACTGTCCATGATTTTGTTAAAAGGAAAATATATGCAAGACTATCATTTAAGACTGAAAATGTTGGTGTTAATGATGAGCTAGAATTATTTTTATGTTTACAGGATAATTGTAGGTGGATCTTTAAACCAAGGGGATTGCACATCACATGGAGTGAGAACCCAAGTTATTGGAGGATGCCTGAGATAGGGTACTGACAATTATCCCTTTAATCAAATTTCATTACTGACATAGAGCACATTTGATGCATAAGTTCTACACATAAATTTCAGGACGGATGGTCCTGCGGAGTTGCAGAATGTATGGTGGCTTGAAATATTCGGTTCAACGCCGGAACCCCTATCCGAAGGGGAGAGGTATGCACTGAGCTTCAAAATATCTTTGTCGGGACATAATTTTGGTTGGGAAAACGCTCCTGCTTACATGCTGGCTAAGGTAGGGAAGAAAGGAAGGGCCAACTGGGCAAAAATCAATATAGCAGATATGAACGTAGGCAACGTAATGGAAATTCCTGACGGCAAGCTTCAATTTGAAGTTCCAAAACATGCTGAAGATACCACACTCCACTTTGGATTATACGAATTGTGGAGTGGAAGACCGAAGGGAGGCTTAAGAGTTCATGAGGCTGTAGTTGAAAAGATGCCTGTTCAATCAATCACTCTCGTTATATCCTAGATGAGTTATGGCTAATGCAATCTAAATGAGTTTTTCTTTTTCTTTCTTTATTCTGTGAAATATTTTATGTGATATTGCAAGCGTTTTTAATTTTATATTTAGCCAGACAATAATTTCTGAATTTTACAACTTAACCTTTAATAAATTTATTTTTGTGATATTTCGTTTGTGCTGAACACATATTAATTTATTAAACTTTGAAATTTAGTTTTAAATAGTTGACATTTTATTTGTATTTTACTATTTGAAACTGATATGTATTTTAAATAATTTCTGTATTTTATTTGTGTTGAACACATTAATTTATTAAACTTAACCTAAGAATTATTTTTTTATTTCAATACATAATATATGTCAATACTAATATGTAGAATCAACTTAGAGACTCAAAATTAATATAGTTTTTAAAAGATAAATTAATCCAAAATTTTCATTATATACTTATTTACACATCACATGAGACCTTAAATTAAAATAATATAAGGTAAACTTTTTAAGTCACTTCTAATCTATATAATACTTTCTTGATACTTAATTTTAACTATCAAAAATCTAAGATGGCTAACAATAAGTTAATAACAGCTAATGATCATAATATAAATATTAATCGGATAGTTTGTTTTTTTATGAGAATATTGATTATTTTTAAGTTTTTTTTCTTTAGACTAATTGATTCATATTTTTTTCATTTCCTTTTACAACCACTACTAATATTAATTATTAAAAGACTCTTAAACAAAACAATTCATAAAATTCCTGCTCATGTTTATATTTTTAATTCTATATATATATATCATTAACTTGTTTTAATGAAAAGGTCGCTTTAAATATAGAGTCCTATTTCTAGAGAAAAAAAAATGCATATGGAGGAGTTAGTAAGCATATCTTTGTGTCATATTTTATTTTATTTTAATTGGACTGTAGTGTTATTAGTCACAATTAATGGTTAGTAAACCCAGGAGATGACCTGGAAAACGCCCGAAGAACGCCAAGAACAAACCCAGAAAACCCAGAAAAAACCCAGCACCGACGAAAAAACCCAACGATGATTTCTCACGATTTTTTGACTTTTGACACTCGATTTCTGTTTTAACTCACCCAAATAATGATAATCTCCCTTAAAACAACCTTAAAAACCCTTCAAACTAACGAGAGCATGAACACCAACCCCAAAAAAGAACCCCAACCCAGAAAAATAAGAACAAGCTCAAACGGCTGCCCAGAGATTCAAAAGGGAAAACTCAAAAACGGAAGAATTGAACCCCAAATTTTAAGAAATGTGGTTGAGAAACACTTGAAGATGGAAAATTAAACCAGAAAAACCCAAGAAAAAGAACTTAAAGGCCGGCAATTTGAAGAACCAAAACCCAGATTTTATGAACACCAAGAACAATGAACAGAGGCTACCCAGTTTGCCCAAAAAATGCCAAGCCAAATAAACCCCAATTTTTCGAATTTCAGCTCTCTTTTGGCTTTCTTTTCACTCTCTCTCAATCCAGTTTTTCCCCCCACTTTTTCTATCCCCTCAAATCATTTTCTTCCCTTTATTTATAAGCTAAAACCTGACATCAATCCGTGAGAGGGAGAGAGGGGGCTGCTGCTGTGTAGCATGGCATTGCTGCAAAATTCCCTTGATTGCTGCAAACTTGACAGAAGAAAAGCAGGGATTAGACTGTGGATTATGCAGAGAATCCTGGGAAATCTGCAGAGCAAATCCACGATTTGCTTTGGTCCTACCGTTTTCTTTTAAAGTTTAATTGGGTCCCTTATAGTTTCGATTTCTTGCAATCATACCCTTTTTGTATTCAAGTTCAGTCCTTATAATTGCATTTTATCAATTGGATCTTTTTGTTATGTAATTTTAGTTTTCGTGATTTCAATCGTATCAATTGGGTCCCCAATTACTTCAATTACACTTCCATTTAGTTCAATTGCGCCCTTAGATGTAAAATTCCCAATTTTGTGTTTTCATTTTTTCTTTGTATATTCTTTATATTATCTGTTCTTTTTTCCATTTTTTTTTTTTGTATTTTTGTGGTAAATTCAAAAATGAAGTAAAATGAGATAAAATAAAATAAAAAGTCAGGAATAAATAAACTAACCAAAAATATGGGAAATTTTTGGGTTATGACATAAATGAAGGTATTTGGTTGGTTACTCCTGTTTCTATGATCTAGATAGCTTAAGGAAACGTAGTATTATTCATTTGGTGGAAGTGTGAGTCACGATCATATATAGAATGAATCTAGTTCTCTCTTAGCAAGATGGATCAATTCTTTTCTTGACCATATATGGACCACTAATGAATAATAAAAAAATATTCAGATGCCATTCTTTCTCATAAAGTCGACCACATTTTACATGATTCCTTTGTTTCTAAGCTATATTGGTTTTTTTTTTTTCCCCTCTTTTGTGGATGAGTTTCTTCGATGTTCTTGTCTTGACAGGAACATATTGATGAGGAGATAAAAGTTATTTCCATTTCCCTGGATATAAAAGGCTCAATAAGGGTTCATATACATCATGGCAGTCTGTCAAAACTAATAATCTATAGACTTTTATTTGCTCTCAAGATGTCTGAGGCAGCTGGTCGTGCAGAAGTGGAATCTGATAAGGTTGGACATGTTCTTCCGGCTATTTCAGTACCATTATTGATCTGTAGTTCTATTAGTTTGCTTAGTCACCCTTGGATTAAACATTTCTATAAACAAACTTGGGATCTAGGTTTGCATGTTGAAACCAATTTTTTTTTTTTTGAAGAAAAAACATATATTATTCCGCTTTGACTGTACATGATTTTGTTAAAAGGAAAATATATGCTAGACTATGATTTAAGACTGAAAATATTGGTGTTAATGATGAGCTAGAATTATTTTTATGTTTACAGAATAAATGCAGGTGGAGCTTTAAACCAAGGGAATTGCACATCACATGGAGTGAGAACCCAAGTTATTGGAAGATGCCTGAGAAAGGGTACTGACAATTATCCCTTTAACCAAATTTCATTACTTCTTTTTTCTGAAATAAAATTTCAATATTTAGGTTAAGTATTGCAAATAAGCAATGATATAGACAAAAAAATAAAAATCACAGAACAAGAATTTGGTAACATAGAGCACATTTGATGCATAAGTTCTACACATAAATTTCAGGACGGATGGTCCTGCTGAGTTGCAGCGGGTATGTTGGCTTGAAATATGCGGTTCAACGCCGGAACCCCTATCCAAAGGGGAGAGGTATGCACTGAGCTTTAAAATATCTTTGTCGGGACAGAATTATGGTTGGCATAACATTCCTGCTTACATGATGGCTAAGGTAGGGAAGAAAGGAATTGCCAAATGGGCAAAAATCAATATAGCAGATATGACAGTAGACAACGAAATGGAAGTTCCTTACGGCAAGCTTCGGTTTGAAGTTCCGAAATATGCTGAAGACACCATACTAAATTTTGGATTATACGAATTGTGGACTGGAAAATGGAAGGGAGGTTTACTAATTCATGAGGCTGTAGTTGAAAAGATGCCAGATTGAGCTTCTGTTCAAATAAATCACTCTTGTAGTACTATCCTAGACGAGTTATGATGGTAACCTGAAAGAGGGTTTTTTTTTTTTTTGTGTGTGTGTGTGAAATATTTTATAAAACTCGTCTGTTGAGATCTAAAAGATTCTACAGTTTTTCGGACTTTACGAGTCAAGTCCTCCGGACTTTGGTTTATATTACAGTGGATAAGTCTCCATCATCTGTACCATTCTCACTTCATTGCATGTGTTCAGCTAGGGAGGGTCCGAATGCGTAACGCTTCCGATATAAGACCTAAATTAGTTGATGATATTAGCGATGATGTCTCACATTCTTAATGCAATAAAGATAAGACATCAAGCTTCATCACTTTTTGTAGTCAAATTAATTTTTATTTGCAGTGAAGCCTATTAATTAGATTCATCATTAATTAAAATTAAATTAGGTATAAATTTTTTTCAAAATAAAGTCTTTAGTAAAAATATTCCTTAAATACAATATGCGTAGATACTTACCCAAAATTTGGTCAAAAACTTATATTTATTGAACTCAAATTAAATAATTTAATAAAATATTTTAGACCAAAAACAATTAATTTGCATCTTTAACTAAATTTATAAAAAATTCATTTTTAATCATAAAAGGAAATAGTCATTTTAAACTAATTTAATTATACTTAATTTCTATAAATTGCTATCGATCAATTAAAATATATTAAATTCAAAATAAAAAATAAAATTTCAACTAGTTTTATAATTTTTAATCAAAATTTTGTATCTAATATTTTTCTTATATATATATATATATATATATTTCTAGTTAAAAAAACGATTTATTCTTTTTATGCATTTATTCTTAAATAAAAACATATAATAATCTAAATATAATTTTTTTTAAAAAAAAGTCTTAATATTTGTTTTCATAATATTACATCGAAGAAATATGGCCAAAATTAATTTAAATTTTTTTTATGAAATTACTAATATATATTTTTATTCTTTTTTAATATTAGTGAGAAAAATATTTTTTGAAAATGTATAGATTTGATTTATATATTTATTTTCAAAATAATGAATAATATTAGCATAAAAAGTTGTATTTGAATTATTAGGTGGTTCTTCTAAGATATTATTTCAATTAGTTTATTCGAAGGAATTAATTTTTATAATATTAAAAAAATAATAGTAAATAGTTGACGTTATGTGTGTAGATGTAGAATTATTTTTCAATAAAATCAATCATTCTTTACAAACACACACACACACACACACACACACACACACATCATGGTCATACTCTATAAATTAGAATGTGTAGCATAAATCGAAAAATATTTTTAATAAAATTGAAATTGTAAAAAATATATTAAAATTAATAGTGCAATAACAAAACTACAAAATTGATTCTAATAAAATTTGATAATATAAAGAATTAAAAAATAAAATACATGAACTCTATTTTGTAAAATTAATTATATAAAGAATAAGTAAATAAAAATAATTATAAAAAAAGCTTATTTGAAAATCCTTGCGTAGAGAAAATAAGTTATATTTATTAACAAATCAAATTACATAAACAAAAAAGAATAAAAAATTAATCTTTTGAGAATTTTATAAGAAACAACAAATTAAAAAAGATCAATTTTAAATAATAAGAGTAATATAATTCGAGATAAATGTTCATCCTAAATTCCAAAACATATCATATATATTTTATAATCGTTTGGTTATGGAAAAAATAATGAATTGATTTTTCTTAATTTTCACACCCAATTCAATAATAAAATAATACAAATATTATTTTTTTTAATATATATATATATATATATATATATATATATATATATATATATATATATATATATATATATATATATATATATATATATATATATATAATTGATGGGATTCTTTTGATAAAAAAATTCTTGAGAGTTTCATCGACCATTTGTGGACTTTGCATTCTCCCTTCCAAGTGTGAGGGGTGATTCTAGCCTAGGTTAATTGGGATGACAAGGGACAAAACTTTTGTGAGATATATGAAAGATGATATTTCTTCATCTCAAAAACTAATTTGCCTAGGTTAATAAATGCTAATTTCTTTGAAAAATAATGATTAATCCGGAAAACGCGTAGGTTAACCTAAAAGAAGAAATGATGAATGTAATTTGAGATCATGACTTGAAGATGTATTGTTATTATTATTTAAGATACCAATTATTTAATCTTTCAACTTTGGGCTTCTTGAGGATTTTCTAAGCAAAACTTTCCTTTGAGAATTTATTTGGAAAATGATTTTTTTTTTTTTTTTTTGGTTTCAATAAAATGGGAGATTGCCCCCATTACTTTCTATTTAGAAAAGTTATTAGGAGAGTGTATCTTTGGGTTTGATGAATTAAAGAATTATCTCTAGCATCTATGTGTCATGTTTTGGAAATTTGATCAATCTTTTGAATATTTTTGAATGAATTTGTCATTATATTTTCTTAAAGAAGGAAGATGCAATTTCAAATAATAATTTGAAAGGAATATCTTTTGATTTCAAATGAAATAATATGAAATTATAAAAGACAACATAGGTATATTTCAATTCAAAGATATGTCTTAATTCATGCATAACCAAACCTTATAGGAAATAGTATTCAAAATCTAATAAAATTAAAAAAGAGCATTTGCAAATCAAGAGCATACATCCTCATGATATCTTTAATTCTCACTCAATCTCTCCATCCCTTATGTTGGTAAGCTGTATGACTCTACAGTGGATCGTTTCTAAGCATTCAATGCCCTTGGAGTTCCATCCAAAAAGATCTACCCCTACTTAATTAATGATATTATCCTTCTTTTGAAAGCCATGTAATTCTTGATATTATGGCAATTTGCACTGGCATGATAGTCGCGTTTCTTATTTGGCTTGTACCGTCGAGGTTATGATGGTCGAAGTAGAGTTATATGAATAGGAATGACTTGTCCATTGGTGATAAGACGATTGCCTAGCTCACTTAGTGAAACATGAAAAGGAGGCAATATGTCTTGATACCTTCTACCATTACTTTGAGAATATGATCTTCGGGGACCATTGAAAGATTATTGATTTTGTATTTAATGGTTTTGTATATGAAGTTAGTAGTTTGATGATGGGTTCAAAGTGTTGAAGTGAGGACCATTTGTAGTGGTAATTGGAGTTTGATAGGCTGTTATTTCCTTATTGAGTATAGCGATAATTTTGGTACCCCTAATTGTTCCATAGCCCTCATGGTTGGAAATTAGTGGACTCCAATCGGTTAATCTCATTGTTTTCAATGATGCCGAATTACTTTTCTTTAAGTAGGTATCGAAAATCTTTCCTAACCTAAGAGCTTGTTCTACTCTTTCATCAATGACTACCACATCAATAAAATTAGGTGAGGCACTACTAATCGAAAACTCCATTTTAGGAAACTTTTTTCAAAATAGAAAGCTTTTCATTTTTGAAACCTTTTTTCCAAAATAGGAAACTTTTAAAATTGGAAACCTTTTTCAAAATTTTTGCTTCTCTTTTATTATGTGAATGCTCAAACTTATACGTGTGACTCGGTAAGCTTCTAGTTATGTTGACAATCTATTAAGAATAAAAGATAAATCTTTCATCTCTTGATACATAAATCAAGATTGACCTCTCTAACAAGGTATTATGACTACCCAATTCTCTAAGAGGATTAATTAATATATAATTACCTTTTACTAGCATGGTTACCATACAATTCAGTTCTCATGTCACTTTATTACATTGTGATCTCGAACTTAGTTGTTAGTCTATTTGATTATAATCATATAAGTTTTTCTTCGATTTTCAAATGTCTTAGTTCTTAGAGTAAACCAATTATGCTATATTAATGTACTCCTAATGTAGCCACAGATTCTTTGAGTAGACATTTATCAAAGTACAATGTGATAACTCATTTAACATACAAGGAATGACATATCCTCTTTTAATCATCCACCTATCTCCATTAGATTCCTAGTGCATCCAATGAATCACCCACATACAACCCTTTATTAGGTCCATCGAAATAAGTGTCTACGTATATAAATCCTCTAACGAGATAATTGTGATGACTTCAAGTTAAAGGATTAGTTGTACCTATCTCATATGAGATTTTCATATACTAAATCAAATAGGTTCTCTCGGTGAGTCAAGTCCAATGATATATTCTCTATCATTAATCACATATGTGCTTGCTTTGGCATCACTATGCTAATAAGTGTGAGATATTTTATTGCTATCTTATAGCATGAGCATCACTCATAAGTCTTATCGCATACGATCAATGTCCATCTTGATAATGCTATGACAATAGGACATTTAATGATATCATTTAAGTGTATTAATTTTTATCTCATATATTTCGATCAATCATTAATTCAATGCATATCATAGGGACTTTTATCTAATTCTATTCAATAAATATGAACTATAAGAATTAATAAAAAAAAAACTTCTTTTATTAATGAAATAAATAATGTAATATTATAATAAGTCAAACCTATCCAAACAAGATTGGATCTAGGGCACCTATAGTAACAATCTCTCACTTGCACTAGAGCTAACCAACCATATCCCTTATGCTTGACGATCAAGTAAGGGTCTCATGTTTTAGCTATAAAAAAGGCTTAGTCAAGGGGTCGGCTATATTGTCATCGGTGTAGACCTTTTCTATCCTTATATTACCACGACTAGTTATCTCTCTAACTAAGTGGTAGCGTCGTAACACATGCTTGGACCTTTAGTGACACCTTGGTTCCTTAGCTTATTCTATGACTCCATTGTTGTCACATTACAATACTATTAGATCAACACTTGCTAGGAACCACTTGTTGTCCGGATAAAAATTTATAAATCCGGATAACTTCTTTAGCTACTTTTACAATTGTAATATATTTAACCTTGGTTATTGAGTCAACTACTCGTTTCTTGTTTGGAACTTTTTCAACTAACGAGCACCACCATTTAATTAAAAAATGAATCCTAA